GATCTTCTCACGTTTTGAGCGATTTAATAATGCATCATTAAGCTTCAATGGCTCCCGGCGTTCTTCTAATTTGAATTTGAGCTTGATCTGTTGACGCGATCTATCAGGAAACAGATGTTGTACCATTGATAGGTTACACCCAAACTCTCGAATTCCCTAACGGAAAAAACAATGAGTTCTTGATGATTATGAACGGGAAACCGCATTTGAAGTATCAGGGGATCTCAAGTTTATTACCTCATAGAAGAGTTCTGTATCTTGTTTTGACCATCGAGTTCTTGGAGTCTTTTTCATGTATGTTTGATAGTTAACCGGTGAGTCTGGTTTAACTACGTTAGCTTCTTGATTTTCGCCTTCCTCCATTGCAAATTCATCTTCTGCGCCAAAATCTTGAGAATAATACTGGTTATCCGATGTGTTCGTATTACTGCGCATAACATACACTCCGTCAGATGAAGAAAACAAACTAAAACACTCTGATTTTATCATCTCGCACATTCGATTTTCTCCAACATGAATATTTAAGAATACCTTTCTTGGGTCGGTGGCACAGCAGCGGCTCCCTTTGCTTCTTTTTTCTGTGTATAAACAAGAAATAAACAACAAGGATAGTTAAGATCTAAGCAACACAAATACGCAAAACTTCCATATAATCAAAGTAAAAAACAGTGATTCTTACCTCCAACCATTCTTTATATTCAACAAGGCGAAGCATTTGTTTGATAGGCAGAAATCTGATTTCCTCATCGGGGGTTTCAAGCAATTCCTTGTCCACTAGAACAGGGGAAAAACATGAAAATAGTTGGTCAGAGGTTATAGCGGAAAATTTCAGATATAGAATTTGTGCAGCTAGTTACATGTTCTCTTCTGTCGACGACTTGAATGCTTGAACTTCTTCTTCTCCGGATCTTCGCTAGACTTATTAGGTTCCTCTTCACTGGTGGTTTTCCTCTTTCGAGTAGTACCTCTCTTTGATTTACCCTTTTTACCTTTACCTTTTGTTCCAGATTGTTCTGCTTCTACTGTATCCCCCACACCATTTTCTTTGTCTCCTGTAACTGGATTGTTAGTACCCTGTTCTTCATGTTCCCATCCACCATAAGCACTTTGTGCCTCCATCTCGGGAACCTGATAAAGAGAAAATTACAATCAGAACCAATTTAAATATTTGCCAACTTAAAACAGTGCGCTTAGAAAAGCAACCTCAATTTGCCAAAAAAATTTAACCCCAATTTGCCAAAAATTCTTACTGTTTCTCTGGGGACTTCAGGAATATTAAGTCCTTCTTCTTGAATCTCTCCAGAAAATGTAGTATTCGTATTGAAATCGTTTCTTGATTCCACATCGACCATAGGCTCAGAGTCACTAGTACCCATTGTAAAATGACCAGTATCATCAACATAGTAATGAGACTCGGGTTCTTCAATCACAGGGTCGAGCAATCTCGGCTTTGGTTGGAACTTTCCAATAGGTTGCTCTACACAAGTACAACTTTATAATTTGGTTACTAGATATATTTAACTGAATTAAGGCACATGAATGTTTGCTCAGTGATTAGAAATTACCATATGCACTGGTCATGCCTTCCTCCTGTACAATATCAAGAGTTTCCATGTCTAAATGACACTCTTCTTCCTGTAAGAATATCAAAACTTGCAAATCAGTTTTACTTTTACAGTAAAATAAGTGAAATATCGGCCTTGAAAAGAGAATTCAGGTATACCGCAGGTTGCATCCTTTCGGTTTGAGCATGAATATTTTCATCTGTTGCAGGAGTAACAAAATCTTCAACTGCAGATTCTTGTGTTTTAGGATCATCATGAAGTTCAGGTGACGCCTCTATGTCATCATCACATCTTTTTCTCTCCAAAACCACATTAGTAGAAGCACGAAGAATCGATGGTTTCCAATTAACCCCTCTTGAGAATACATCTGCATTCTGATAG